GATTTTGTTCCTTACATTTCGATCCACTGAATCAAACAAGAATTAGTCCTATTTTCTCCTTCATTTGTGGCTTAATATTTCTTTATGGGTTAGGGTTTTCAACTGAGGAGAGAAACCTATATTAACTATCACATGATTCTAAAACAGAATATTAATAAACGTATATAAGAACTTGTTGGAAAGAATAAAAGTTACGATCTAAGAGTTGGAATCCACTAGAAAAGGTTAGAGAGATTCTCTATCATATAACTTTTCTTACTTTAATTTCTCCAATTGTCCTGCTAAAGAAAAAACATTTCAGCCCCCAATTATTGGCCGACTAAATTTTATATAACCTATGAAGCACAATAATAGTAGCATTCGACCAATTATTGGTCGCTGAAGTTTCCAAGTTCGTAGACCTCTTTATATACATATAGGTCAATTATAAAAGACTCATTTCATCCGAGAAAGTATGAAAATAGTAAAAAAGTTCTAATAATGAATGTCTTCTTTGAAATTTTTGTCTGTCATCAGCGAGTGTAACGTGCTTGACTTCCGATCATATACATTCATCAATTTCAATATAACAATAATGTTTGCACATAGCAGTGATTACGTCTCGCAGGACCCAAAGGCCAAACTTTTTTTAAGAAATTTTCTGAATATGTATTATTTTGCATTTACATGTCGACGAATTATAGCAAATTTATCTTATAATAGAACCAAAATATTTTAGTGTTTAAATAAAAAAGCATTTGCAAATTGTAAAAGTAAAATGAAATGCAGAGCGATTTTGTTTACATTTTCAGTTAATTTATAATTTAATTTAAATATTTTTGAAAAAATAATTGTGCTCTAGTTTTTAAAATGTGAACTTAGTATTTTATCATGTAGATTTAAACATTCAAAACCTATACGGCTATACCACTCCTGATCATCTTTTTAAGAGGCTAAAATATAGTACCTTTCTGGTTAAGTCTATTAAAATACACGTATTTTGAATGTCCAACTTCAAATAAAATTTAAAATTTTCAAAAAAGAACAGTAAGAAGAAACCTCAAAATGATATGTGGATAATATTAGGACAGTTAGTCTAAACAATAAGCAACTAAACCGAGAAAAATCAGATAATATTATCTCATTTGATAATCAAGCCCTTCAACTAAATTTATTCAAGACTAGCAAGACTATATGTTAACTTACCTCATTTGATGTCTCCATATTATATAAGAAAACAAATGATTTTGCTATTAATAAATTGTCAAATAACATTGCTCAGGAACTGTTCACATGACCAAGATTCCTTTTCTTTATGAATCATCATGTTTTAATGAATCACTTTCTAACACGTGTTATCTGAATGATGTGTTCATCATTTACGCATGC